AGTAACGGCAACAGACCTTATGGTACATAAAACCAAAATATTTACTTTATGGATATTTGAAAAAACAGTAAATTATACAAACAATAATATTGGCTATATTTAATAAGACATAATCTTATCTTTTTCCACTTTCTCATGGCAACCCCCCTACAGTTAGCATGTTCACATAAAAGCACACAGGCAGAGACAGGAACTTTCTCTCTCAGTACTCATCTGTCAAGTTATGGGTCAACCCTTATTGAGCATTCACAGAGCAGAAACTGTTTTATTCATTTATCATTCCTCACAGAAGCTATAAGGCTTATTATGATTACTATTACTATTAATTATTCCCATTTAATAGATGAGAAAATGGAGACCAGAGAAGTTAAGTAACTTGCACAATGACAAATATGACATCTGTCAGATTGAAACAAAAATTAGAACTATAATGAATTAGTCTGCTGACCTCAGAGATCTTTAGTTTGGCTACCCTAGGGTCCTTCATTTGATTAGTTGATGTCCTCAGACTAGAAGTAAAGTCAAGTTTCTCTTTCCTCCCTGGGAATCCTTAATAGACATCTAGGGATTCTTGAGGCCAGAAAACTGGCATATTTCCATATTGTCAAAGAAAAAAGGAACTGTAATTTGGGTGAAATAACTTCAGAGTCACGGATCTGCATTCTTCTATCTCCTGTTTCACTTTTTGTTAAGTCATTTAACTTTTATGGTCTCCACTTGCTTATCTGTAAAAAACAAAATTTGATGTCTGACATCTTTTCCAGACTGGCCATGGTATTAACAAGAGCACTGACACTGACGTTATTAAAACAACTGCATGTCCAGGAGAAGAAAAACAGTGAAGAGCCTTGGGAAAAGAACCACTGACTTCATCCCACATCGATTCACAAATTTCATCATGGGAAGGCCCACACCCCCCAACTTTTGAATAATTATTTTGTAATTAGGTTTTGGGGGTTTTTTGGTAGTATTGGGAATCAAACCCAGGACCTGACACATTCTAGGTAGGTGCTCTACCACTGAACTATACTGTCAGGATGGATGAAAAATTATTTTGGAAGAATGACTGGAAGCTCCCGAGAGAAGGCACTTCTGCAAATTCTGATGCCAACCCCAGTGGGGGCCCTACCACAGTCTACAGAGGAAGGGAAAGCGTGGGTATAGAGAGAGCTGTCCAATTCTCTAAACCTGTTGCGAGGACTAGACGCTCTACATGAGCCTAGAACCAGGGGGAAAAAAAATGAGAAGCTGGAGAAAGGGAGAAAAGGAGAAAGGGAGAAAATATCAGGGCCATGAGTGCTAAAATGAATAAACTCACCTGAAATGGTATGAGAAATATAATCATCGAAGTTTAGTAAAGAACAGGCTGGCAGGTGGTCTGCCCCTTGCCTCACTTCTGAATGTTACAGCATCTCTCCTCCAAGTCTGTGCTACAAGTTCATCCTAAATTTGGGGTTCAAGTCTAAAACACAACATCCAGTGCATTAGGCTACCATTTGTTCTAGATCTATAGTTATCGAGGCATGGTCCTAACTGGAACACAGAGCAGAACTGAGGAGTCATGAAATGGCCCAAATATTGCTCCAGGGTTGCCTCTGTCATCCATTAGCTGGGGCATGGTTTATTTTTATTTTTTTTCAAAAGTGACTAGCCTTTCTGTTTTTTTCTAAACCCTTTTCACTGTGAATGAATTATAATGCCTCTTCCTCTACAAGCCATGTCCAGTGTTCTGTTTTTCCTTTTAACTGCTCCAGTACTTACTTGCTCAGGTGCAAGCTGATGCTCTAACTCACTCAATCCCTACCTTTCACATGTAGGTGTTCTAGATCATGACATCCCTGAAAGCAGAAAACATTATACAAAGAGCATGGCCACTGCGCATGTACTAACCACCAAGTACTAACACGTGGACAAGTTATTATTCAACTGAGTCATAACTTTCTTTTTCTTTTTTTAAATAGGGATGATGATGCTTCCTTACAGGGCACTCATGAATACTAAATTAGAAAATTAGTATAAAGCAACTAAACTAGACCCTGATACATCATGAATGTTCAACTAACATCGAACAATCTCTCTTCTTCGGCTGCATTCTCAGAAAAGCCCGAAGTAGGGTCTTGCATGTGCTCAATAAATGTCGTGGTTGGGTTGATGTAAATTGTTAAATCACTTCCTTGTCTGTTTGACTTCGTCTCACATTAGATTTATCCTAGAAATTATTATTCTGACTTCACATGTAATCACATCTGCAAAGTGATTACTTTTGTCTTGTTAAAGTTAAGATAGACTCGAATATTTATATTTATTTTCCTAGATCTGTTACATGAGCAGGGGATCCTCTAAATTGGTATTGCACTATTATATTCTAAGCTATCAGTGTGAATATTCCAAAATGATATAGGAGATTCCATTCAAGATTTTAAGGATATCAAATTATTTGAAGGATATCAAAATATTCAAAAAATATTTTGCCCATTTCTCAGAAGCCTTAAAATGGCTAAATTTTCAAGAAAGGATCCAAGGTCTGTTACCTTGATGCTGCTGCCGCTGCTGCAGAGTAAAATTTCATTGTGGAGCTTTATTTTTGCATCTTTCTGGCTACTCTCCATAAACAGCCCGTTCCCAGGTACTCAGCTCACTCACACTTCCTCTACCAGAAGAGTCCTTAGAGGGCACTTGGTAGGCATCAAACTGGTTTCAAACTTCTTTCACTTCCTGTGCATCTTCCTGTGTTCCAGGTCCTCGGGACTTTCTATCCGCCGGCTGATCAGATAAGCCAGTCCAAGTTGAAAAATGAACATATGCTAATGGCTTATAAAATGTCATGGTAGCTCTTTCCCAGGTAATATTATTGCATTAATTCATTAGGCATCTGCTGGATAGAACTCCTTCATCCAGATGAATGGTTTTAATAGGATTTCAGATCCTACATCCGCCAATGAATAAATGCTTTGAGCCTGAGAATGCTGTGCCCATCCTCAAATGACTTGATAGACTGCTGCCTAGGTTGTATTTGCCCTTGACCACAAAAACAATTTTCTTTGCTTCAGTTGCCAGTCAGAGCCTTCTCCTTCCAAATGGTCCTTTCCTGCTTCAAAAATTGGCTAGGAAGTTTTTGGTGAAGTGGAAATGTATTTCTTTCAAACCTTTGTCTATTGTTACTTTCTACACCCTCAACTAGGCAGATCAAAGGGCAAATATAAAATACTTCAGGTTCAAAACAGAATTGCCAGCAAAGAGAGCCTAGAAATAACACTTGAGGCAGCAAGGACTGCCAGCAACTGTCTTCCCAAGTTGAGTCAACACACTGGAAAAAGACACCAGATCTCCCTACTTGTATTCTAAACTGCTGTTGATGAAAACATACCAGAGATTACTCTGGGAGTATCCAGGTCAGAAAATGGGCTGTTTGATTCACAAGTACAACTGAGAACCTTATCATTGATTATTTTAAGTCTTCAAAATATGTACTGGGTAAAAGGTATTTTGTGAGGTGGGGGGCATGAGAGTCAGGGGAAGGAGAGAGAGAGAGAGAGAGAGATGGTGGGAGGACACAAGAGAGAGACAGAGAGAGGGAGAAGAGAGCTTCTCTTTTGGAAAGAAAAGGAAGGAAACTGAAAACAATCCCACTGCATTTAATGAAGCCCCACTGGACTAGTCCTAAATCCAAATCCAAATCTCAAAGGCAGATACTGAAAACTCACACTCCCAGAATCTAATCCACCCCAACGGGTCAGAAAACACTTGACATTTACTTCCACTAGATCTTAGATCAATCTCCAGGGAATAGAAATCCTTTTGTTCAGAGAGAAGCACAGAAACAGCTAGTTCAGCAACCTACTGGCCTGGTTAGCCACAATTCCTACTGAGAATGAGATCTGAAGTGATAGACAGCTTAAGGAGCTGAAAGGGATGCTACATAGGATTCTGGAATCTAGGGAAAGTCAGGAGAATATTTGCCACAAGAGGGAGCAGGAGAATTTGGTAGGAATGGGAGACTATAAATATAGAGGTTATGATGAGGAGGTCTACCTATAGATGCAGGAGGTTACGACGGAGGGTTGTAACTAAGAAGTCATAGGATATTAGAGGATACTTTAGCAAAAGACATTCATCACTTAGAGGTTAGATAAAGGATGAAAGATACCAGAAGAAGAGAGAGATAAAGCGTGTTGACTTCTAAATTCTCAGCAAATATAAGGCGATGATTTAATTTTTATTTGAAAGCAACACACGCACACACTGCAAAAATATAAGATGTTAAAACAATTTGCTCTAACATCCCCTTTCCATTGTGTATCTTTTTTTCCCAGATTTAATATCTAGTTCAATTTGGATCTTATTTATTTCCGGGCTATAAGGGCAGCCGGCTTCTTCCCTACATGCTGTTTTCCCTCTACCTGAGGGGACAATAGAGAAAGAACTGATCACACTGAATGGCACCATGAAAATCAGAGGTTGAAGTCCTAAAATGCACTTATTTTGAAACAAACACATCCAAAGGCAAAGTGAATACCTACCTTGCTTTTGTTTTTTTGTTTATTTTAGCACAACTTGGTTGGATCTGATGAGCTTTTCTCGTCATTTATTTTGTCAAAGAAACAGATTAAGCACTAAGAAGGAAGGAACCATGCATTTACTTTGCAAGATAAATAAAAGTCTATTTTTGTCTGATAAAAAACATGTTAAATATAGCTTGTTAACAAAAGCTAAAGCTGTCTTGGAATGAATTTTATTTTTTCAATACATAGTAAGTTTGAAAGAGTAATTAATGTAATTCCTGCAAATGAGTCCTGTAGGTGTTCAAGACTGTACCTCACCTTCCTTTAATAATTTTATTTGGAGTTAAAGCACTGTCACTGTTGTTATGCTTTCCTTTCCCTGCACAGCCAACAAAAGGATTATCTAGTTCTTAATCTAAATCCAAAAGGATACAGTAGAAACCATTAACTAGTAATGGTAAAGTAAATAGACAAGGAAGTAGATGGATAGATAAACACACAACCTTCATATTCTGTTAGTTCACTACTCTAATCCCAGCCCCATTAAGACAGAGTCGATTAAGTCTGATTGTCATGGACATTCTTACATCCTTTGCACAGCTAAATGGTGAATAATAGCTTACCTCTGCTAAGCCCCCCCCCCCCCCATTTTCCCCTTTTTTTCTAGGAATTAATCATTCTATTTTTAATAAGAGTAAAAAAAAACATCCATTTTAAGGAAGAAAAATGGGTGCTTCCTTTATAGCAAGTGGGAGAAATTTTAGATAAGGAGTCCTTCTATCCAAAGGGAACCCTTCAGGCAGGCAGCATTTGTAAAATGAAAACCATTTAAGAAAACACATCTTTGCTTCTTGGTGAAATAAGTGATTCCTCCCCCACCAAATCACTCACAAAGCCCCAAAGATGGAGCAAGCTCTCCTTCCTTCCTCCTGCTTTCACACCCAGCTAACCTCCCAATTAAGCAAGTTTAGCAAACCCAGAGAGCTAAATACAAGTAACACAGGATTTGAAAGAGGAACCTAAAGCCAGTCATTCCTGTTCTGGCTTTGTTTTCTTATCTGAAATGAATGAAATATCTAGATTCATTTTCCTCCCTCCTTTCCTGACTTGCTGCAGGAGAGCTCTGACAGAGAAAGAGGAAGCATGTAAGTGTGTGAGTGTGTCTGTGTGCCGTGTGTGTGTGTGTGTGTGTGTGTGTATGCGCGTGTGTGCGCGCACACACGAGCGCTCCTGTGTGTGTTGGGGGTGAGAGAAGGGGAAGGTATATACTTTCCATATTCTCTCCTGGACCTCCCTCCCCCGTTTCCCTTAGGAAATCTTCATACAAGTCCCGGATTGTGGATGTTCACTGCTCCTATTCGGAGATACTCAAGCCTATGTCTTTAACCAGATCTGATCAGAAATCTCCACCTACTCAGTCCGCTCCTCCATGTTCAGGATGCCTGTACTGTCTTCACCACATCTGTCATTTTAAAAAATGCTTCTTCCACTACACCTCCCACTGATATCCTTTTTTTTCTCTTTTTAGTCTTTACACCTCCAGCAGGACAAAGTTTGTGTTGTTATATTCACAACCACTAGTGGCTGACTAGCAGAGAGGTAGAGAGCGCCTTCAAGGCAGCCAGGATAAGGGGGGGTTAAAACCATAACCTAGTGCAAAAAAAAAAAAAAAAATGACTTTCTTTCTAGCGACTGCAGACCACAGGCACACTGCTTTCTTCAGAAAAAAAAAAAAAATTCTTTGTTAAATTTGATCGCCCCTTCTCTCAATCCAACCACTGCTACTTAATCTGGGGAGGGAAATACGAATTGCCAGCCCAAGTCATTCATCAGACAGCGACAGAATCCGTGTAGGGAGGGCGAGTTAAACAATCAAGGATGCACATATGCTGTATTTTTAAAAGCATCGCCTGCACGGATTTGGTTTCTTGAACCCACTGTCCAGCTATTAAGACCTCCCTCTTCTTGACGAAGGAGGAGCCAAGAAGGATATCCTCGCATCTCAGAACATAGACCATTTCCCCAAGAGCCAGCACAGCCCCCAGGCAGATAATGCAGCTGCAAAGTTCCTTTGGAATCTCTTGGGGAAAGATGCCTGTGTGTGCAGAATCCCCAATGCACACCACGACATGATGCCCAGAGACCCAGACCCTGTAAGTCCACTCCCCACATTTTTTCCTTGTCTGTCCCCTCTCTCCGGCCACACCTCCCTCTTCTCCGCAGTCCATGGTGAAGGAGCACCCAGAGCCCATCTGCAAAGAGGGGGGGTCGCAAGGGTGGCCTTGGGAAAGACCCCAGGGATTACCAGGAGGAGGGAAGACCGCGGAGAGGAGCCCAGTGCGTGGGGACGCCTGGGTCCCTAGCAGCGCTGCTTTCTGGGTGGACTTATCTCTTCGCGCCCGGAATCCTCAAAGCCCAGCGCGGTGCAGGGCGCAGCATCCCTCCTTAGCAGCCCTTTCTTCCTCCGGCAGCCTGCACTGGCAGGCAGGCACCCTCACGCCCAGAAGCACCAGCCCGAGCAATTTCACTCCCCCCAAGCTCAGACACCCAGAAAATGTGCAGGCGCGCGCGCGCACACACACACACACATTCACACACACACACACACACACACACACACACACACAATTTGGAAACCAGTCTTTTGCCAAAACGAAGGAAGTGCAGCCTTATGAACAGCAAGAGGAAAACAGTTCACGGTATGTGACTGGATTCCTTTTGCTTGCCCACCATAGGATCCTACCTGGTTTGGGGAGTGTGAATGGATTCTCCCCAGTTCCTCCCGCTAGTAGGAAATACGGCAAACTCCCTGCTTTTAAATAGCTCCCGATCAGGAAGAGGTCGCTCCCATCTTCTGCGGGAAGCACAAAGCAGGCGGCGGCGGCGGACAGACTCCGGTGCAGCGCCGGCGCGAGCTGGAGCGGCGGCGGCGGCTGGCAGCGGTGCGCGCGGGCGGGAGGCAGCGCGGAGGCCGGCAGGCTGGGAGGGCCGGAGCCGGGCGGCGCGCGCGCTCGCTCCCTCCCTCCCTCCCGCGCACACCCGCCTGCCGCCCGCCGCCCGCAGCCTCGCACTCGCTCACACGCGCGCTCGGCCCTGCCGCCGCCACCGCCGGGGCCCGCCGGCTCCCCGCGCTCTGGCCCTCTGCGCGCTCCCCCGGCGGCCTCAGTGATCGCTTGTGGTTCAACCGGCAAGTTTCTGCAGCACCAAGGCGGTGGGGAGCCCTTCCAGCCTCCCTGTCTCTGCCCCTGAGGATATAATTTTTCTATTTCCTCCAGGTTCTCGCCCCGCAGTGCGTCCCGGCCGCGCGCTAGCGCTCTCTTGGGCACCCAGCCCATGGATTACACACGCGGACCGGCGCTGCAACTTTTCTTTTGAACCTTCTTTGCCTCTTCCACAGACAGAATCCCGACCCCCCCATTCGCCTACCCGTTTCTCACCTCTGAATTTGTTACTCCAGATATATCTTTCTTCCTCCACATTCTGCCCCTCTGCTAAAGGAAGCTTTCTTTTAGCAAAGGAATCTGAGGATGTATCAATGATTTTTTTAAATCTTTACTCCATGTTTTTCCTACATATCATGTATACAGGAATATACGCTAGCTACTAGATGCTGACACAAGCAAATAAGGATGGAGTTGGGGTATTCTCCAACCAAGAACTCTGAAAGGCTACCCGTGTTGGTATTTTGCTCAAAGATTGCAACTCACTTGGGAATAAAGACCAAGAGGCTGTTTAGTGTGAAAGCCATGCCGTTTTAAACTACAGAGAGGAGTAAAAGCTGAGCATTAAGATTGAGTCAGGAAAGACCTAATGCAGCAATCGACGAACCATTCATTGCCCTTTCCAAGAGAAGCATTATCATTGCCAATACATCACTTCCCCATAATTAATAAAGGAGCATTGCAGCAGGCCCTTGCTCTCTTGACAGCTCATTCATCCTTACAAATCCTTAATGACTTGGCAGGATGAAAGGCTAGCCTCACTATAGAGTTCACCAGCTCCCAAACCTGGCTGCACAACAGACACACCTGGAAATGCAGACTGATGCTGTAGAATCTGATGCAGACTCTGATGATGTAGGTTTCACGTGGAGGCTCTGAGTTTGTATTCTTAAAGCACCAGTTGATATTGGCCCTTGTTGTGGCTTACCGAGGTATGTGGGGCCAGGACCTGCTATATTGGGAAAGTGAGGGGAGGAAGGAGCTGAAAAGCACAAGGCAGAGTTCAAGTTCTTTATCAGATTTTCTCCTGATACTTACAATGTGGCTCTGGCAGTCAGGTTTGGGAGAGAGAGATTCTGACTCCAGGAATTCCAGTTTGATTCTGCAAAAAAAGAGCAAGGTATTGGAGCAGTAACACTCCTTTATCCCTATGTCAGTGGCTCACAAACCTGACTGCATTCAGATATCCTCAGGAGCTTTTAAAAGTCCCAGGGTCTAGGCCACACCCTAGAATGATTAACTTGCAATCTCTGGGGTTAAGACTCAGGCATCAGTAATTTGTTTTTATGTTCCCTGGTCCATACCTATGTGCAACGAAGGTTGGGAACCACTGCTCTAGGCCAGTACTCCTTAAACATGAATGTGAGTCTGAATCACCTGGAGATTGCAATTACTCCTTTAGTAGGCCTGGAGTGGGCCTGGGATCTGCATTTCTAGCAAATTTACAAGTGACATTGATGTTGCCTAAAGGAGGACTGCTCTTTAATTAGCAAAGGTCTGTCGTACCCAGTACCCATCCAGCATTTAGGGACATTCTGGCAGAAGAAACTCCAACCCACTGCTTGCCTTGCAAATTTGCAGGAATCCTCCTTCCCTGTGAACATTTTCCTTTCTTTTCTAAGATAAGTTTTCTTGGAAGCTGCTCTCCACATAGACTTTTGTTAGACTGCACTGAGTAGTGACACTTGGGGAGACAGAGAAGATCACCATCTTTGGGTTAGAGTACATCCTCAGCCAAAATTCGCTTAGATCTTGACTTCCAGGGAGTGTGAGAGGCAGATATTTGGCTCATACTCAAGGATAGGGGCTTGAAAAGAAATGTGGCTGTCTTTTAAATGACAACAAGAAAAACTTGTAACTAAAGATTCTGTTCATAGGATATAGGACACAGGTTATGAAGAACACAAGCTAAAAAGATAAATAAAAATGTGAGTGAACTATATACCTCATTGGAATCGATTCTATAGGGAGGGTATGGCCTGTTATTACTATTATGGGCTACTTAGTGACAAAATTTTCTTAAAAGGATAAGTATGTTAGATGGGGTGACAGTAGTACTGGTCTTTCAATGTCTGGGCTGGTCTGTACTGGTCTTTAAAAGCCTATCATTTTAGCAACTAAGAAGTTATCAAGGCTACATACAGATCCTCTTCTTTTCTAGTCTAAACTGATGGGTTAATTTGGATTCCTGGGCGCAGGGGACCTACATTGTATGGTCTTCTCCTTATCGAAGTCTATTAAGGGGTGGCCTAGTACCCAGTGATTTGTCACCCTTTTTATTTGGCTCAATTTCTGAGTCCCTAATTTTCTTTGCCTTTCATTTCTCATTAAAGGCATCTTTATAATGGTCGCAAGGCCCTGGGGCAAATCAAACCTTTTGCTCCCTCCTAAATGTCATACATGACTGAATTTTTATTGCAAGAATTATCAAAGGCAACATCACTGGCACAAGGCTGTGGAGACTACAGCTCTAGGTAAGGAAATAGTGAGGTTTCTACAGGCTGTGACTTTGGAAAGAAGAAATATTGTATGCAAGAAGGAGGTGATTTGCATTCCAAAAGCGGAGCTATTTCTTAATGGTATTCTTGGATATTGATTGCTATTCTTTTCTTCTGGACTTGGAATTTATAATCACAAATCTTCATTGTATCAAACCAAAGCAGTATGGAACAGCTATTGAGGGGTCTGCACAGGAATATCACTAAGATTTGATATATTCTAAAGATGGTTCAAAATTTCAGGAATCATTTCCTAGCAAATCTTCAGGGGATCCTTAAGCAAATTTACTTTCAGACCAAATATAAATGATGTGAATTAGACCAATTTTATATCCAGTCTATATAACAAGGGTACCAAAGATTTTTTTAAAGTGTTTTTTAATACTATGTTAAAACATCCAATAACTTTCCATTATTGAGAAGACAAATACTTTGTTTTTAGTTCCTTTTAGTTTTACTTTGAGTCACCTAGGTCAGAAGAACCACTATTGTTTTCTCCATTGCCTGGGCTTCTTAATGTATCAGTAGAGTCCTAATCATCCCCATCTTATCTCCTAGTCCATCACCATTCACCACACAGGGCTGTGCTTATCACAGGCTCAGTTTCATCTTGATTTCCAAATAAGAAAAAGGTACTAGAGCACTAGCAGCCTGGCCAGGGAGGGAGCTTAGCCATAGCCATTTTCCCAGACTTAACAACCTCATGTGGACCACTGGACCCCTCATTTTATCATTTAGGTTTTCTTTGCTGCTGATTGGATCCAGGGCTCTTTGCTTTCAGGGTGACTATAGAGATTCTTTGTCAACTTCTAGGTGCTACTATTCTTTTTCCTGGTGTCTTTTTCCTGCAGTTCAAATTTTACTTCTTTATTTTGTTTTGACCAGTTGAACATCAGTCTTCCACTCCATCAAGTAATGGGCCCTGCTAATGTACAAAAATCCAGAGAGCCTGTAGGTAGACTTGAAATAATAACCTCCTGCCCTGGGCTCCATTACTGGGGGCGGGGGGGGGGGGCAGCCACTTCCTCTGAGTCACCAATTAATTTTCACAGTCTTGGGACACCAGGGGTCTGCAATTCTACATTTCTATAATTTATATTCAAGGATTAGACTTGTACAAAATTCTGACTCTTTTTATTTTCCATTTCTGCTCCTTGTTACATTAAGGAAATATTTAAACCATAGTCCACAATTTTACCAATGGGAACTCAATGGCAGAATCATTATCTAGAGCGAATAGTAGGTCACACAAGAGCAACTGTCTGTTTAAGAGCTGAGGCTTAGGAGTCAGAATACAGGTGGGATTCATAGTTCTGCTCTGGCTGTGTGAACTTGGAGAAGTTTTTTAGCCTCTAAAATCTCAATATCTTTGTCTGGAAAACCTAAATCATGAAATCTCCTTCAAGAAGTTGTAGGAAGGATAAACATATATAATGTGCTTGGTATATGTCTTTCTTTTTTTAGTACTAGTCACTTTTAAAGTGACTTAAAACCCAGGGTGCTTAACCACTGAGCCACATGCCCAGTCCATTTTATTTTACTTTTTAAAAAATTTGAGACAGGGTCTCACTAAGTTGCTTAGGGCCTCACTAATTTGCTGAGGCTGGCCTTGAACTTGTGATCTTTCTGCCTCAGCCTCCTGAATTGCTGGGATTATAGATAGGTGTGTACCACACAGCACCCAGCTTGATATAATTCTTGATCATAATAATTATTCAACTATAAAATGATATCCATATAAATAAAAAATCAAGATAATTAGTTTTTCATTATCAGATCATCATGTTATTGATAATGATTTTGATGTGATTTTTGTTATACAGAATTTTAGACATTGACTAATCCAAAAAATGTATATTTATATATCAAGAGAGTACTTTCCTTTTCTGTAATGAAGGAAACTGTACTTTCTGATTTTATAAGGGCAAACTGGTTATTTCTGTTAACAGTATTTCTTTCTCACTATGTCTTGCTATCAACTTGCTCTCCTCTTATCTCTATTAAATCTGAGGGTACAATTTCAAAGAGCAATTTTAACCAAATACCACTACAACTAAAATTTTGGTTACCACATTAATTTATTAACAGAGGACTTTATTTGAAGGACAAACTTCTTCACTATGTTTGCACAGACTTTCTACAACCTTGGCTCAAGGACTGTCCATCAACAGGGACTCGAGATGAGGCC